CTTAGACACAGCAAACATTAATATGAAACGCAACATGATTTCATAAATGAGTAATTTATGATTAGAAGCTAAAACTCTGTTTCGAGAAAGTAAAAGGGTGAGTTTATCTTGATTGGCTCAAAACTTGGAAATTATGTGTTTTTTTATTTTTGTGAAGCAAGTTTACGAAATGATTATCAAGAATAAAGCCAGGGTATTTCCAGCTTAGCCCAATAAATGATTGAGTCATATATGAAGGTGATGCTATGGATATTCCTCTTGTAGGTGAACATAATGGGTTCCGACTTCTCCACATTGATTTGCATCTGCTAGGCAGTAAGCCAGGATTCCAGTGCATGAATATGTGTTTGTCGTTGTTGGATAGCCGTTTTTGGATAGATTAAAGATGCAACTATGTGTAATGATTGCAGTATCATCTGCATACGCATTGCTATTGTAAATGCCATGTGCTTTGTGAGATGCCGTTCGCATAAGAAATGGGATTACTGTCAAACACCTTGAGATACGCCAGCCTCGATTCTACTTTTTATGGAATATATATTTTTAATACGAAAGGCGAAGTGTCTATTGATCAAACGTAATGTAAGAATATGTTCTGGGAATCCCAGGATGATGACTAGAGCCCTTCTAATCAAACACGACAGAACGCCTCGACTATGTCTAAAACTACAGCTCTTGTGTAGATCTTATGTTGTAGTCCTGCAAATATTGTTTGACAACTCTGTAGAGCTAATATACTGTCAAGGGATGATTTAAAAACCAAAACTATTGCGGAATTATAAGTTCGTTATCGTCAGCATGAGCAAGTTGCAGTAGGAAAATATCTAAGTCTTATGATAGTTTGAACAATTTTTGTAAGTCTATAAATCATCAGGAGTCATATTTTTTAATCATGTTTCTGCTTATCATGTAAAGCTCGGAGATTTTTCTTGGTCTTAAGCTTGTTGATGTAGGTAACGACGTCCGAAGAAATAACGAAAATCATGCTGTTAATATGTGGCTGTGTGAAGAACTTAGTTATTATGTTAACTTTGCGCTTCTACACCAGTGTCTGAAATGCTGTTTATGTAGCGTAGTAATCAGCTAGTGACTTAGCTCTCTTCGTTTCTGTTAAACGATCCCTGTGGGTTCAATAAAGGGCAATTGCAATGCAGTTTTTCTTCACGTTTTCAGAATTCTAATATTTTAGATTTTCTAGTTTATTACAATTTTCATCAATAGATGGCGCTACGTTAGTTTTCTCTTTGCTCCTCCCATTGTTTTCGATATCAAATGGTTTTTGTTTTCTCCATTTTTGCTTCTGAAGAAGAGGCACCTGTATCCTTTCACCCTTGAAATCGAAGAGTTATTTTCAAAATTTACGTCTAACCAAGGTTGCTTTTATTCCGTGATTTTAATATAATAATTGTTTCTTGGAATGAAACAAAAGAATTAGAAATATGGAGAATTCATTTATATACATTCCTAGCTCAATAAAAGACAGATATTAATTACAACTGAAAATTTCATGTATGAAAATCAGCTAAAATATATTTATTTTTAATTAACTACATATGACGATCGTTTAGGTACAGTTAAAATTTCGAAATAAAATATTAAAGGAATTATAAATAATTATTGGGTACTTAAAAAAGCAAATTTGATATAATATTTTAAATGAACAACAAATACTGAACACTATCAGTTACTATGGTTTATGAATGCACAAATGTATAAAGATATTTTTAAGGTTCTGGAAACTTCTTAAAGAAATCTCAAACTAACTAATATTAAATTATATAAAAATTGTGCCTTCTTAAATAAAATAAAAGATTTATAACATTTTGTGTAATTCAAAGAAATGCAATAAATTATTTGATTTAAATAACTGAAAATACAGTAATAATGTTGTATGCGATCAACCGCTTTTGGACGTTTGTTCATTTTTTAGATGGCTAGACTAAAATTGGTTGTTTTCTAATCAATGCCAATGCCAATGATTCTGTTTTACGAAGTGCCCATGGTTCAAAACCATCTACCTCCTCATCAGATTTAATAAAATGAGCAGAAATAGGAAAAATGCATTAGTTACCTTGATGCAAGCTAGAGGGAGCCACAAGTGCTCGAGAAAGTTTAGGGATAGAATTAAATATAAAACCATTAATAAAATAAAATTTTAGTTTTTATATTCCTTTTTTCAGAATTATATATATATATATATTGTAGTTTTCATGATTTTTTTTTTGTATTTTCATAGTTTTTATACACAATTCAAACACTAAAGCAAAAAGCGGAAAGGAAAGATTTTACAATTAATAGGGCCATTGGCAAGTAATAGTGCAAATATAGCAGGGAAAACTCGAGAAAATATTCAAAGGCAGAAGTAATATCTGCGGAAAGATGTGATTCTTAAAATAACAGTTTGATAACTATGTAAAAGGCTACTTTTCAGGTTGGTGAATGCAGTTATAGCGAAGATAAGCAATTGGCATTTCAGTAGCTAGCTTGACATAAAACGTCCTTCCTTCATGGTGGCTGTGCTGGAACTGCAGGTGTAGGCTTCAAGTTCTCCTTTTGCCGTGATTATCAAGCAAAATGCATGATTTGTTCGGGCTATCATTAAGAGATTGCACAAAGGGCGCAGAAGGTAGACCGAGTCCGAACCTTAGGTCCAAGAGGGCAGGAGCTGATGGCGAAAGAAGCGTGGCAGCTTGTTACATGAGCTGTAAGCAGACATGGCATTGGTTGCAGGATTCTCAGGGAATTTCTGCTAAAATAACATATTTACAAAATTCAAAGCAAGTAACAAACAAATAATAATTCAAATAGGTGCAATTGGACAATCTTGTGCGCTATTTACAACTATGCAAGTACCAAAGTTCAACAGGAAATTTTATACAAAACTACGAACGAAGTCAGCTACTTGTGCGAGCAATCATGAATAGCTCTCAACCTTCTATGAATAGCTCTCAACCCTTCTTCTTCTCACCGATCCCAGGAAATTCAGAAATTAATAGCTAAATTGGATGAGGCAAAAACTCTCATTGCTACACTCACTGCAGCAATATCCATTTTAAAAGATATTGCAGCTTAGCTTACCAATGTGCCAGCACAAAAATCAGCCATGCCCAAAGTAAAAAATCATGAATAATTTGCCTTTATCTTTTGAACCTATTTCAATCGCATTATGGAATGCTCAGAATCTTACTACTAAGCTCCCCGAGCTGCACAATTTTATAATTCTGCACGATATTCAAATTTGTATGGTGGCAGAGACTCATGCTTTGCCAAAACATAACCTTAAATTGGCAAATTATTTTTCCTATCGGTATGATCGGGTCAAGCATCGCGGCGGCGGCGTCATCATCTACGTTCAAAAATAGACACTAAATTCAGGACTGATTTCCACTCATAACACCAAGGGTCATGAAATTGTGTGTGCGAATGTGAATATTGGGAAATGCAAGATTTTGTGCTCCCTACAACCCTCCGGACAATAGACTTGATGATACGGATCTCCAATCCTATCTGAACTCACAAACCCCCGCCATTATAGGTAAAGATTTCAGTTCTAAACATGTAGAATGGGGAAGTAATTACTGCACCCCAAATGGTCATGCGATGAGAGACATTATTGAAAATCATCCTGTCTTCACATATGTACCACAGGAGCCCACCTATAGACCAAACATGATAAATAGACGACCAGATATCCTTGATTTTTCCTCTCGAACTTCAATTTTCTATATCATTGGAAGTATTTACAGAGCTGTCTTCTGACCACGTCCCAGTTTTGGCTAGACTTGGATATAACAAACCTGAAGGCACCCAGACTAAATAAATAACTGATTGGAACTTATTCCATAACATTGCCATATCCTCCCCAATTAATTATGGTAAGCTAAATAATTCAACAGATATCGATAATGCTGCTGCTATTTCACTGATACAACCCAAATGGTCACACTTATAAATCCAAAATTTCGTGCAGCAAGCTACGACAGAGAGGATTGATTCCTGTATTTACGGTACCCTTGTTCTGAGTATTTGAAAAATCATTACTCAACGAAATAGAATCAAAAAACTTTTTAATCGTACCTGGGATCCTGCCCTCAAGACAGAAATTAACCGGCTCACCCGCAAAATTAAAAATGAAATTCACATCCATAGAAACGAAAAATGAAATTTAAAGATAGAAAATCCCTTAAAATGTTTAAAGTTGGATACCTCTTTAAAGGTAGGGTACTCGTTAATTGATCTACTGCTTCGTCTAAGCTGGACCTAATTTCAAGGGAGGGCAAACTTTTTCTTTTAAGTTTAAATCTAAAATTGTCCCAATTTGTAGAGACTAGTGCCGGAGAATTTTGATTAAAGTTAGAACAATTAAGTTCGATAAGCATGGGGTTGTGATCTGAGGATAGACAACTTTTCACAGTCAAGTGATAATCGAAAGAAATATTCCAAAAAAGAGCCAGATCAATAGAAGGGGTTCTTTGTGCATCATATCTTGTAGGGAAATCCGGCGCAATAATTTTGATTTGGGCGCACTGAGCCCATTTTAGGACGCCACGACCAGCAGGGTTGGATCTTCTACAACGATGATGAAAATTTAAATCGCCAGCAATAATCATGTTATTAGAAATTCTGAGAAGTTTGTTAAAATCTTCCACAGGCAATTTTCCTTCTAAGGGAAGATAAGCAGAGATCAAGACTAGGGAGGGCAAATTTTGAATAAAAATTTCAACAATCGTCGCCTCGAGTTTGCTCAGACTCGGTGTGTCAATCCTTTTTATGAGGAATATTATTTTTTAAATACACACAAGTACCACTATAAAATCTTGTTTTCTAATCATTTCCTTTTCTGTCATTTTATGGAACATACAAATTTAAGAATATTGTTTAGTGGCGCCATCTAGGAAATAAGCAACAAACTAAAAGTATAGATCGCATAATACATTATTACCGAAAATACTTTGACTTTGTTTATATCAATAGACAATAAATATATTCAGAGTACTTACCATCGCCCAAAGAGAAGATATTCATATTAGGAACTTGGCAAAAGCCAGCAACTGGGGGGCTTACAATGTTTCCTAAATTTTTTTCATGAAAAGAATTAAAGAAAGATCATTACATGTCTTGTTTATTTTTTTATTTATTTATTTACGAATATGAACTTTTGCCAATTTAAAGCATACCGAAAATCACATTAGCTTTGTGAAAACGGACGTTTGGCACAATAATAATTACATATGCATGATTATGACGCAAATAAGTAAAGTAAAAATTTATAAAATGAATACTCTATAATTATAAGAGAATAGTGTTTACTATAGCTATTAATTATTTTTAATAACTGCCTTTAGTTTGCGTCATAATCAAATGATTGCGTACAAATAATTATGACGGAAATAAATACTGTAAAAAACTGAATAAATGTTATAAAATGAATACAGAGTAGTTCTAATATTAAAATGATGTAATTATTTTCTGCGAAAGTCTAGGACGGAATCTAAGCATAGCAACATTTCTAAAACTCCGAATATAAATGCTATCGGTAAAGTTATGAAACGCCGGCATGCTATATTATGCCCGTTGTTTTTAGGCCAAGTTTGAAATATGAGAATTATTACATACTTCCCCTAGCCATTGTATATAATACCTAGGCATTCTATAGAATGACAAATGCTATTAAGGCAAAGTATGAAAAAAGGTCCTGATAAGGCTATTATACAAATGACGTGGATTCCTCAAAAATACAAATGTTATTCTGAAAAAATAACGAGAGTGCCATTAAAAAATTTATTTAAAATACGTAAAGAAAAATGAAAAAAATTTATGCCTTTCTTGTTAAGAACAACAAAATTTTCATATAAAAAGAAATTAAAATAAACCTACTAATTCCAAGATGTAGGGTTGAATGACATTTTGAATTACATTTCATTACATTTTTCACGAAAAGAGATTTTATATTTGGGCACTTTGTTTTACACATACATTCAACGAATTCTTGGCCGCTTCCATTGAATTGAGTAATTGCAAATGACCAGAGAGGAACTTCGTGTTCACGAATATCTTCAATTCTAAGCAAGTTATTAGGGCATAAAGTGAATTATGATCTCGCATATACTTGTTTTAAAATTCCTTCAGAAGTTCCAAGTCGGTAGAACCTATCCTCTGTCACACTCATTACAACTGCCAATGTATTGCGGGAATCACCTCGCCCCTTGTCGCCGTCAAGAATAGGAACTCGCACAGTAGTTACCAAAGAAGCAGTGGGAAACCGTTTCTCCGTATTAATTTTCATTTTTGGGGGTTGTATTTCCAGACTGATTTTAGAATTTCTTTTACCCTTAATAGAATTTTTAGTTTTGAAACAAAGGGTGCACAAAATATCCATTTCTGATTTTAGAATTTATTTTATCCTCAATAGCATTTTCAGTTTTGAAACAAAGGATGCACAAATTATCCATTTCATCATCTTTACTACCATGGCCACAAAAGGGAAAAGGTATGCATTTTTTACGACACTTTTTGCATGCAAGAAGACTCGTTTCCTTTAAACACACACAACAGGTATCAGAAACGGAAATAACTTCGGTACGCATGTCTTCGCCAAAGTTGGTTTTATCCACTATCGACTATAATATCAACCTTGTTTTTTGAAACCAGCTTTTTTTCCTGCATAATCTGATTAGGGTCACCTTTTTCCATTATTTGTTCTAGCTGCTCATCTGTATTTATGTCTTTTAAAACATTTTCGGGTAGAAAAAGCGTTGCAAGCCTTACTTTAGGTTTGCAGCCAAAAATAGCTTCTTTTGGTCCCAGAATGAGAAGCTCTGTTTTTCATAAATTGAACGAAACGCAGTCCTTCACTCCAGCGGTCAGGTTTGTTGTCTGCATCCAAGTTTAGAGCATGCTTTCGATATCTTGATTAGTTCTTTTGGCTCTATCCTGGCTTAACTTACTGACTGATAAACCTATCGCCAGAGTACCACTGAGATCAGTAGTTTATCTGGCTCAATCAAATTTATGCCAATGAGCGCAATAACATAAAACTATCCTCATATAATGTTCACCGTAAAGGAGGAGCAAGGACGGATAAAGGAAAGGAAGTCTAGTAACGCAAGAGCTCACTAATAAGTAAACAGGCCCAGATTAGAAGTGACTAAGTGAGAGTCATAACAGATGAGTAACGATTGTGAAGAAAAAACATTGAGTAGATAAAATACATACAAATAACAAATTAAATGAAGTAAAGTGTAATAAAGATACGAGATATATATATACACACTATGTACACTATTTAGAATGTGGGCACTAAGTGGGAAAGTTCAAGTCCCTGATAAGGTGGGTCGCAAATGGACGCAAATTGGAGTCCTCATCCAAGATTTCATAGGTAAAGATGTCAAAATTACACATATGGTCACAGTTCAGAGCTTTCGTAAAGAATTTTCTATTTATTTTCCTAAGGTGCTCTTCTAGAAAGTCCAGTTTCAAGCCACAATGTAGGGTAGCATTGCTCACATAGTAGTGAGCATGAGTGATAAGTCTTAAGACTTTATTCTGCATTATCTGAAGTCTTTTCATATCCTCCTTGTTAGCCGTACACCAGGCCGGCGACGCGTATGTCATTAAAGGCCTAATTGCCGTGATATATACTAACCGCTTTTTCCTGAGGTCGGTCTAAGCTGGCATAATTACCAAAAATAGGGGTAAGACTTTTAACAACTGTGAAAACGTTTCTTCTAACTTCTGTGACATGGTCTCTCCACTTTAATCTTTCATTTAACATCACTCCCAAGTACTTCGCGTTACTGACTCTGGGAATCACTTCAGAGATTAAGTAAAGCTTGATATTAATTCTCGAACGGGTATTTTTACTTCTTATTATTAACAATTGCGACTTGCTTGCCTTTATGGCAATTCGCCACTTCGTGCACCATTTTTCAACATCTGGCAGGAGCTCCTGTAACTTTTTGATCGCATGGTGTGCGTTTGCGGACTTTACGGCTAATGCCGTATCGTCCGCATAGCACCCAAGAAAGTGATTTCTATCTATGTAAGCCCTTGGAAAGTCGTGAACATAAAATAAATACAGGATGGGCCCTAAAATGGACCCCTGAGGGACGCCTGCATTCATCGTGCGCAAACTGGAGAAGTCAGTACCTATAGCAACAGTAAACTTTCTATTGGTAATAAATGACATGATTAATTGAATTAGCTTTCTATCCGTAGGGAGATTTATAAGCTTATTATAAGCGCCTCATGCCAGACGCGGTCGAATGCCTTGGCCACGTCTAGCATGAGTAAGGCGACATTTTGCTTTTTGTGGAGCACATCCCCAGAAAACTCGACGAGCCGGACTAGCTGCTTCGTTGTGAATAGCTTTCTCCGGAAACCAAATTGCTCCGGAGGCAGTAATTCAATATACGAGTAATTCTTCAATCTGCTATAAATTACTCTTTCAAAACTCTTTCCTAGGCCTGGAAGCAAGCTAATGGGCCTGTATCCATGTGGGCTAGTGTTACCTTGCCCGGGCTGAGGCATTAAAATGACCTATGCGATTTTCCACTTTGTGGGAAAATAGCTTTGACTGAGACACGCATCGATAATGCTCGTGAATTTTGTCACAACATTGCACGGCAGATTTCTAAGAGCGTTATTGTTAATTCCATCAATGCCTGGCCTTTTTTTGAATTAGTTTCTTAGTGATTTCTCTAATCTCACTGGAAGTAGCAGTGGCCATGTATCTCCTTGCTGTGTGGGACTTTAGCCAATCCATGACAAAGTAGCAAGCCTCATAGACGAAATTAATATTCCTGAGCTTCACTTTAGGTCTAAACTGTTCTTCTAGATGGTCTGCAAGAACCGTCGATTTGTCTTTATTATTGAGAGCAACAGAAGTTTCCGTGTAAATCGGTTTATTGCATGTACGCTGCCTTTTCAAGTTTCGCATGAAAGTTCAGAGTGTGCCATCATTCGGACTAAGATTCTGAATTTTGTCTTTCCAAACTTCTCTCTTATGTGCATCAATTTTCATTTTAATTAATTTATTTAATTTGTTCATATCTCTTTTTACATGCGGGCTCCATGTAAGGTGCCATGTCTTTCTCATCCGATTTCTATCTTTTATCATCTCTCTAATTTCTTTAGGCAGAATGCCTGTGTTGTTATTTCTCCTCACGTGCCTAGACACATTTTCAATAGCATTGTTGATCGCCTCAGTGAGGGTATCAATTGCATCATCTATGTCCTTCCGCAAAACCAGAGCATTAAAGTTGGGCGGATTCTGACCGAGAAACTCCTGGAATTTGTTCCAGTCTGTAGTGCGAATCATCTCATTTTCGAATTCCTTAATAGTACCTAAAATTACAATGACCGGTATATGGTCAGAATTTAATTCATGTTTTACTTCAGTGTAAATAGGGATCGAAGTATTTGTCAGGAGAATATTAAGAATCTCTGCGTTTCTAGGGTTCTGGTATCTGTACGTATACTTCTCAGTAACTTGCAGAGCAACTGGGTAATTATTAAGAAACTCATAGAGCACTTTTCCATTTCTGTTCGTCTTGCGGCAGCCCCATTCCGAGTGCTTTGCGTTAAGATCTCCAGTAAGAATATACCTATTATTGTTAGATAAGACTCCGGAGAGAACATTTTTTGTCAGCTGCACATGAGCGGATTATAGAATAAAATGAAATTCAAATTTCCATATTGCGGTAACTGCACTGTGACCATCTCATGCCCATCGTTTCTATCTTGGCTTATAAAACAGGACTGGAGTGAGTTGCGCACATAAATTGCGGCCCCCATCCCGGTGACTCAGACGATCGCACCAATATGTGCGGTAATTATGCAAATTAATACGCACGCATGGCGTGGCAAAGATCTCTGTGACAAGGACTATGTCAATATTATGAGTGTTAAGGAAGTTTAAAAATTCCGTTAATTTGTTCTGAATGCCAAAAGCATTCCAGAATGCTAATTTTATAAAATCTCCTTTTGAAGTGTACTTATCCATTAAGATCCTGATTTATGGGAATTTTGTCATTTTGTATAGGTACATTTTGTCCTAGTTGTTGAGTTAAAA